GTGAGGTTCATATCCCCATTTAGAATTGGGCAGAGTTTGCAAAACTTCAGATTTGCTCAGAAGACCCCCTTCTTTCAAGGAACTGCAGGCAGCTTTAAAAGCTGGATGGCAAGATGAAGTAAAACACAATGCACCTCCAGGAAAGGATAAAGAACGGCTAATCTATTCGTACAAACTGCAAAGGAGATTAAAGATGAAAGGAAATATTTAGTCACCTTTTGGGAACAGCTGGTGTGAAAATATTTAACAGGCAGTGCTTTTATACACAAGCACAGTGTCCTCACTAAGCTTAAATAGGCAGGAGCAATATAATACAGCTGGCCAGAGCCTGTGAATACTGTAACAGGAGAATTAACAGCTTTCCTTCTCATTTGCTTGCACAGCTCAGATGTTAGCTAATCATGTCCTCTAATTTTAACAACAGAATTGGGAAATGTACCACAAAAATACAGCTTGTATTAAGAACGGAGGTGGCAAATTCTGTCCCTGGGACTGAATGACGGAGCAACGATTCACTGGCCCTCTTCTGTAAGTTAGCCGTGTGAGATTCTGTGAGATGCCTGGAAAGACCTGGATTTAAGTGAAAACTTAATCTGAAATCCATTCTGATCATTTCTTTGAGTGCCACCAAAAAAAAAAAAAAAAAGTAAAAGCTCCTTCGACTGTTTAATCACCTATTAGATATCTGTGAGCATTTAAGAGCACCTTGTTATAGGGGGCTGAGGCGTAGAGCAGGATGAGTGTTGTAAGGCTATTTATATTGTATGGTTCCCATCTATCTTTAAACTGGCAGCTAAATGGAAGATTTAGAGTTGAGAGTTCCTGGCTCCCTGGTTCCCTGTCAGAAATAATTAAACTACATTTTAAGGAGACTGTCGTAAGTAGTTTCCTTCACAAGTGTTTTTCACAGCTGAGGTTCTTTATTACAGCTTTTGGGGCCTGGGAATGCAAAACCACCTTATATATCCATTATATACGAGTTCTATGTTCACAGCCTGGAGCTTGCACTCCCTTGCGTGGGCGGTGGCATGACTGGGGTCTCAGCTGTGTGGGAGATGAAACCCCAAATGTCCCCAGCGTCCCAGTTCTGGATTAGCCTACGATCTGGTTGTTGCCGAGCACGCAGCATTTTGTGTCCCTGGCCTGCCTGTGCAAAGCTGTGCCTTGGCAGCACGTTGCCTGAGAAATATTTCAGTCAAGATGTAAATGTCCCAGTGGGTTTTCCATCCCTTTTCATAGGAATGACTCCACAGAGATTCTGCCTTTCAGAAAGTGCTTTTTTTTTTTTTTCTTAATCTCTTCGCCATTTTTGAATGTCACTCCATTATCCTGGTTTCACACCTTTAAATAACCCTATGAAGGCTTCTGAATATCACTCAAAATAGCTTCCTTTTGTCCCTTTTTTTTTTTTTTTCTGCACCACCAGCCTGTAGATATCTGACCTACCATGAGCTGTCATTTCCCTGACAGACAGGAGACAAGACTGGATATCAGGATATCTAGGAGGTCCTGTGCCTGTCACAGAGTTCACATATACCTGTAGATCTACCATTTTGCTTTATGCCTTGTTTATCTGTGAAAATGGAAATAACATGGAACATCAAAAAATACCCGCTACAACTCAAATTGATTAATATCCTCATACTGAAGATAAAAAATTAAGTAGATAGCAGTAAAGTACTTCAGATATTCACGTGGACTTTTGGAGTCACAGGGGGATGAGCCCTCCAAGATGCCAATTTTCCTGCACGTCTCTGGGCCTGACAGTGCCAGTGGTATCCCCATGTTAATGATAGGCCTGGAGGTCAAAACTAGGGATTGGGACATAATGAAGATGAAAAGTAACTGAGACAGTGTTTTCTACATTGCTTGGTGAACTAACAGCATGTAAAATTATGTGTTATCTAGTATTTTAAACAGGGGGCTCCGGAGGCTGCCAGCCATGGCCACCAGCACTGCCAGGAGGTGCCGTAGAGGCCAGAGCCAGGCTCTGCTCAGGGGTGCCCAGGGCCAGGCCCAGAGGCCCCGGGCCCAGCCTGGAGCCCAGGAGGTGCCCTCTGCCCCTCAGGAAGCACTGCTGGGCTGGGCGGGTGCCGGAGCCCTGGCACAGGCTGCCCAGAGAGGGGCTGGGGGCTCCTCCTTGGGGATCTCCAGCAGCCGCCTGGATGTGGGGCTGGGCCCCCTGCTTGGGGTGGCCCTGCTGGAGCAGGGCTGGCACCACAGGGACACCACCAGCCACTCAGGGGATCCTGTAATTCTGAGGTGTAAAGTTCAACACGTATGAATAAAGAATGCCAGTTAATAACCAGAATTCTGACAAGAAGCACCAGAAACCACAACAATACTTTTCTGATTTGGGTTTAAATTCCATCAGTCTCGAACTGCACTTTCTCAAGGCATTGCTTCTCAGCGTGCTGGAATTTTGTACCATAAATCAAGCCTTAAATTTTTTATCTGCTGGTTCCTTTATCCTCCCCCAGACTTTGTTCATCAGGTCAGCCAAGGAAAATCAGGGTTTGTTTTTTTTTCAGTGCAGCTTTAGTGCTACATTAGCTAAGGCATCCTATGTGTTCACGTACCACCCTGATCAGCCCACGCTTCATTACAGTGCTGTCTGGCAGTTAGGGAGAAGGGTAGAAAACACACACGGCTGGGCTCCAGCCCTATAGCGAGTTGATAATTGCACCATCCCTGATGTTCATAATGGCCATGGTAGTATGATGTTACCTCCCTCACATCTAGGAGCTGTGAAAATCCATCACTCTATGCCAAATGCAAAGTAAAAAAACTTCTGAAAGCAACTCAGGAGTCCTTCTGCAGACATGACTTAAGCTTTTGAGAGTGTAACTTCTACTGACTTCCAGTAAGGCTTACATCAGATTCAGTTATATTTAGGCAGCGAGTAGTATTTGCAGACGTATTGCTTCACATCCATGGTTTAAACACCCAAGTTGCCCAAGCAAGCTTGACTGTATATGGGACAGTGTCTGAGTGTCTTAACTGCATTTGAACTCCACAGCCCTTTCATTAGAGATTTATGTATATAGAACTAAGTGTTCAGGGGCATTTGGAGATATCTGAGCCACTGCAGCAAAAGGAGTCTGACTGGAAACAGTTCCACTGCCCTGAGCTGAAGTAAGCAGGAACCAGATATTGTGTTTATGTTGCATTTGGAAAATAAGGCATTTGCTAGACATGCAAAACATCGCTGTTATTACTCTTATAGTCCATTTCAGTGTGAGGGACCAAAGGCCTTGCAAACCTCTCCTGTGGCCTGGTGCAAAACTTTCCTCCCAGAGTCAAGGGGATGTGCCAGCCCCACGTCAGGAGTGTGTCAAAAGTCCCTGAGCAGCCAAAGCTTCCTGCTACCGGTGGTATTAATTAGCAAAATACTAAAGCAAACATAAGTAAGGCTTTCAGTCAGGTATGATGTTAATGCAGGCTGAGTAGTTTTGAATATTTTATGTGCAGCCAGTGACCCGAAGTAAATGTCTTGTATAATACCAGACTCCCCTTCGCTGCCAGCCTCGAGGCCTGAATTCTGCACTTAATATGCTTAGAGGCACAAAGAGAGGCACTGGGGATGGACTGGCACAGACAGTGCCCGAGATATTCACCAGGTAGGGGAACAGAGAGAAAATGTGCTCTGCAGAGCACCCTGGTACCCCTTCCTGCTCTTTCAGCCCAGCGTTTCGTCTGTTCACATCTTCTCTCCGCTCTCCCCAAGGGGAACTGTGCCCCTACCCTATCAAATCTATAAATGGCTCAGTCAAGCAAAAGGCTCGAATACAAAACATTTGGGAAAGTTTAACCCAATTTAGATGCAGAAGTCAGAGAAGAGATAGAACACCTGATAGTGGGAAATATACTCTGAATTGCCACTAGGATTGAAAAGAGGAGAGTGCAGTCTTTATAAGAGATCAAGAGTGAGCAGTCAGGTGATGAGCCTGGAGAAGAAGAAATAGATTCATTTCATTTCATCTGTGGTATAACACTATGCCACTATTTGGTTTTAATTTTTTCCTTGAAATCGGTCCTCTGTAGTCATGGTGGTACCAGATGCTTTAACACCTGATTCATGGGTATCTGCTCTCCTTCAGATCTCAGTTTATACAGACACATACAGTGCAGATGTAATACAGTGCGGTCTCCCAAATTCAAGCCAAGGGCTAGCGAGGTTTTACCTATATGCCTACTGCTGGATCAAAATATTATGTGTGTCTGTGTGGAGCTCACAGGGGGTGGGAAAGGCCAGCACCTCTGAAAAGCCAATGTCCTTTAGCTCCTTTCTTTTTAGGAGGTAAGTACCAAAATACCCAGCCCTGACGCCCTGTTTCAGTTAACTCCAATAAGACCGGGGAACAAGCACCGTCCTGCAAGTCCCAGCTCATGTAGCTCACAAAAAGAGTATGGAAGTACCTCCAAATGCCTGAGAAGGGGTTTTTAATGGGATGGTAGGAGAACAGAGACATATCAGATGTGCAAGTTCCAGAGAAATCCATTCTATATATATTCTCTGTATTAATTTTAAACAGCAAAGGGATTTAATGAATCCCATCCCTAGAACTGCGGGTTAACAAGCCATAAACAGGCTTTGCCAGCACTTAACTTTAGCATCAGTAGTTTATCAGTACATTGCTTCCACACTTAACCAGATTTTAATTAAATGTGACTTTTGTTCTGCTTATTGGAAGAGCCAAACCCTTTGGATTCGGTGATCACAAAAGCTCGAGGAGTGCAAGAGAATTAGAAAGCAAATAGGAGGATCAATCACAGCAGACCTCTGCAATCCATGTCCCTCTCTTTTTTTGCAATATACTTATTAGATTCTTATTGTCAGGAAGGATTAGTGTTATGAGCTCCAGGAATTCCTTTCATTGCCCTGTAAGGCAAGGTAGTGAAGTGTGGCTGCTTTTCTTAACAATAACATTCTGGATTTTCCCCCCTTCTCCCTTCTCTCCACCCATATCCCCTCCTCTCTCTTTTCTCCTCTCCCACAGAGATTTGTGCAGCGGACTGCGGAGGACATGGCATTTGTGTCGGAGGCACCTGCCGCTGCGAGGAGGGATGGATGGGCACAGCCTGTGATCAGCGAGCGTGTCACCCACGCTGCAATGAGCACGGGACATGCCGGGATGGCAAGTGTGAATGCAGCCCGGGCTGGAACGGAGAGCACTGCACTATTGGTAGGGAGAAAGAAAAACCGACTACTTTTAAAAGAATAATTGATGATCAGGAAGGAGAAAAGGCGCATGCTTAATTGAATATGTGTGACTTAGTGTAGCATGAGCACCTTTGTTCTTGGATTTCAAGTTCTGACATCATACATTTTCATGTGGGAACAAGACAAAATGTCCTTTCATTTGTTGATGACATAGCTATATATATTTTTTATTATCAGTCCTGAAGTACACCTATGTGATGCTTGTTCTCATAGGGACAAGCTGTCAAACAGCAGCTAGATGGTTTTAAAAACATCCCACTTTGCCTCTCTCAAAAGGTCTTTCCGTAGCCTTGAAGACTTCTCCATACTATGTCAACAGCTTTCTTGGAAACATGCATCTGATTTCAAGTTGTTTTTTTTTTTGTAGTTGTTGGGTTTTTTTGGTTGGTTGGTTGGTTGGTTTTGTTTTGTTTTGTTTTTCTTTTAATTTGTTCCATTATTTGCCCTACCACTTTGCTTGGAAACTGCAGTCAGGCGACCTCTGGCTGGTATTCAACACCATCTTGCGTATCCCTTCTCTGCTCTGCTACCTTTCTAACCACTCCATTGCCCACTCTATTTGGTTCTGCATTCCTAACATACCTGGCACTTACCCTGAGCTCCTGGTGTCATGTCTATTAGTAGTAGTAGTAAGGCACCAACAATATACTGAAATCATGCAAAGAGGTGCATTTCCCATGTCAAGCAATTTGCAGCATCATTAATGAACTGGCTTGGGTTTACCTTCCTCTTCATCTCACTTAACTCCTTGATGCACTTTCCCATTTTCCTTTCTTTCTGACAGTCATGCGTTCAAGTACTTCTGTCTCCATTCCGTAATCATGCTGTAAAATCAGTAGCATTATAACTCCCCAGATACCATTTATTACATATTAATGGAAAACTAAATTAGTTAATCCAGTTCCGCTGTCAATAATGCCTGTGTGGACCTGAAAAAAAATTCAGTTGACTTTAGAAGAGTTCCGGAGTGAGAATTCTCCTCCAGGCATTTGGTTTTAATCAGCTCCTTTTAAAGATAAGAAAATTTACCTCTATGTGGCTTTCATCGTGCAGTGATACATATAAATCACACTACATCAAAATTAACAGCCAGCAATACCTGGGCAAAATTCAGTACAGTTATCCGTGTGGATTATTAACTTAGTTACACATAGACATCCACTGGTTTTGCTTGAACACCAGGTGAGTTTGCACACACAAAGACAGACAGGAAATGAAGCCTGATCACAATGTTTTAATTCCAGCATTAGGGTAATGGTACAAACCATATCTGTGGCTCAATTCTACTTATCATTTATTTATGCTAATGTCACCCTACCACATTACGGTCTCCACATGCATCCCTTAATGAAAAATATCTAGCTCTAAAAACTTCCTCTGTCTCATTAGACATTACATTCTTTTTGCATTCTTGTCTATATCTCTAGCAGCTTTCATTTCTTTTCATGAGGAAGGGAAATAAAAAAAAAAATTAAAAAAACTTCTCTTAAATGACTTTAGAATGAAAAGAGAGCAGACCTGTGTTAATTGGAATGCTGTGTTTTTGTAATATTTTATAGCCTTGTGTTCAAGCACTTTGATTTGGAAAGTAACACAGATTCATGAAAGGGTTTTAAAAGAAAAAAAAAAAAAAAAAAAAAAAGAAAAGCGTTCAGCAAAAGGCCCCAAATCCAGGGGACTATTTTATGTGAAAGACATTTATGCACAAAAAGCCTGATTCATTCCCTCAGTGCCATTTTATTAGTTCTGCTGCAAAAACAAAATGCCACTATAGTTCACTATATGATATTTCTCCACACCACTGATATGCCCGGACTGATTTCAAAGAACAAGCTTTTATCTTTCCTGGTAATTAAATTTACCCCATTATTTGTGGTGTTCCTCGCTCTAAGTCTAAAGAGTCCGTGTTATCACGGGAAAGGCCAGCACCGCAATGCAGTCAGCATCGAGATTTTAATGGTGCACACTGTCATTTGGTGTGGTGCTACCTCCCTGTTGCAGTGCAGGTCTCAGAATCAGCCTGTAATACTTAGAGTGCTGGAGCAATTCTGTTTCTTTGCACTTCCCCTCCCTCCTCATCTTCTTGCATGGTGATTTAGCAACAAATTTGTACATAGTCTCATGCCTCTGAAGCTGCAAACCGTGTTTCCTACAGAATATTTCATTGACAAATGCGTAGAATGTAAGGGAGATTTGGCAAAGTCATAAATATCCAAGAAAATTGAATAGCTTTAGACGGAGTAATAAGCTAGTTCTATTGGCACAGATGAAAGGACATTGACTTGGAATTACATTAAGTATGTGGAAAGCATTCCCCTTGTCCTTGTGTGATTTCCCTGCATGGCAACTTGTTCTGTTGATAGTAATTCCTTATATGTCTGTGTCATGGCCCGTTTGCTTTAGCACTGACAAGCATAAAACCCCATTGCTGAAGTGATGCTTTAACAATATCGCCATGTGTGCAGGTAACATGGTAGAAATGGATGATACCAGTAAAGGACACTTCTTCCATTTCCTGTTGAGCATGTTTGAGAGTAAGAAATCCTTTTGTTTTGTAGGTCATAGGAGGCTCTTTCTTATGGTGTACAAGGAAACTCTGATCCCAGTGGATTAATTTGGTTTGCTCCTACAAAGAGTCATGTTACCAAATATACTAGCTTGATTGCTCACATCCAGCGATTTCATTAGAAGAACCCCAGTTAATTCCCAACAAGGAAATTGATGCAGAAGCATGCATTCATCATCCTAATTCAGCAAACTTAGCACATGCAGGCAAAAGAGTAGAACAGAAAGTTGATTATATAACTGCAGGAAGCCTGAAACCCAGCAGAATGGTTCAATTGGTTTACTCCAATATATTAAAGGAAAAAAATCGTGACAATGGATTAGGCAAGACTCCAACGATGGGCTCTCCAACATGCTCCAAACTTGCCCCCAGTTAGAAACATTGCAAGAACCCAGCTTTCTTCCACTCCAGCCCAAACCACACTAGCAACATCCAAAGAGCATGGTGGTTTTAGGAACGTGGAGTTTAAAGGTGAAATCAGCCCTCTCATTGTTGGCTCTGAAAGGACAAATCACAAACCAGCTTTGTGGCCGACCACGCTATGGATTTGATTCATGGGTGGCACCACAGCAGATTTCCTGGGCATAATAATCAGCTCCAGAAATTGCCCAGGGCTGTGACATCGTGGCCTCAGATTTTTAAGATATGGCCCAGAGAGTGCTCGAGGTGCTGTGCATCCTGCCTCAGAGATGCAGAGGAAGACTTCACTGCACCTACACGGGCCTTGCACTGAGATTGAATCTCTCTGTATGATATTTTACCAGCCTTGATTCTTTAGGGTTGTTTGGAAATAACTCCAGAAAGGGGTTCCCTGTGTACACAGTTGAGGTGAGATATTTATCATCCTTGAACGGCCAGGACACAAGACCAAAACCATCACTTGAAGTTCAGTCGCTGCACCTGAACACCACGGGGTCACTCCAGAGCCCTATGGGGCCAGCACTTAGCTCTCCAAACACACACAGGTCTACCTTTCAAAGCACCTCAGTGCCTAATTCCCACTGATCTCTGCAAAAGCTGCACGCTTAACTCCTTTTGAAAATCTGGTCTTGGCACCCACTAGTGATGTATGTAATAACAAGAGCCTAGACAGACAGGCAGACAGCCCGTCCCACATGGCCTTCTGCTTATGGCACCACTGAGCTGCTTTTGTTTTACTTAGCAAAACTCTTGATTTTTGAGAAATCTGCCCCTTCAAGCTTGCCTTTCATCATCAGTCTTCTTGCATAAATAATCACACATGTTCTGAATAGCCGGGGTTGTAATCAGTGCCCCCTCCGTTTCTGCTCGAGCAGCTGGAATCCAGACAAAGCACATTACAGGTGGATTCTGGTCTCTTTTTAACAAGTCACTTGTGCTATTTAAACCCACAAAGCAGTTTGGTCTGTGTGCAGCCCAACATAAAATGAGCCCAGCAGTGTGTGGGGAAGGTGCTTGCTGCCCTCATCCCCCGCACAGGGCAGATGCCCCCAGCCCCTCTCTGGGCAGCCTGTGCCAGGGCTAAGAGAAATTTTCTTGTGATCCTCCCCAGTGTGTTTCTGACAAAAATAACCCAGACAGCTCAGACTGAGGAAATAAGAGGACTTTCACACCAAAAAATAGTCACATGGGCTTCCCCAGTAATGAATCTGAAAGGAGAGGGGCTTCCAGGAGCGGGTGCTGCCACGGAGCTGAGTGCAGTGCTTTTGGGTGCAGACACCTTGGAAAAGTGGCTTTTCTTCTGAGCACTGTCCCACGTGCCCACAGGTTTTCCAAAGGAGTATCAGCAGATAATAAAATTAAATGTTAGTGCCAGAAGTGTAGCACATGAAAGAGAACTGTACACTTTTAGAGAAGAAAGAGCCGTGCTACTGCTGCATACATTTGCAGAACATTTGTATGGAATTTAAATGTATTCAGTGGTATGGAGTACAGATGTATGGATTCCAGGTGTGGAATGTTCCCATAGAAGGCCTCCATTATTTGTCCAAGCAGAAGATATCTGGCACATTGCTCACATGGTTGGTGTTGGCAGCTGCCTCCATTGTCTTCATCCACACAGCGATTGCTGTCCAAGTTTGCAGGTTGGGCTGCTGTGGATTTTAAAATCCAAAAGATACATTCCCAAGCTTCAGCCACCATCCGAATGGATGCTGTGCTGTGCTTCCTGCCTTGCTACCACCACACTGGGGTGATTTGGTGATGCCTCCACTTACTTACAATAGTGCTTCGATGGACCCATCAAGCTCCCAGGATGGAAAAAAAAAATTCTTCCAAGGGCTGTGACCTCCCAGGTGGTCGGTCTCTGTGACCAAACCTGGAATAGAAAGCTTTCCTTAGGGGTACCAGGATGCAACTGAGAGAGAGGGAGCAGGAGCATGGAAATAGCATTTAAGGAGGTAGCCAGATTGAGAAGA